TAAAATGATTTTATTATATTATTAATCAAGATTATTTTTATTATTTATAATTAGTAATTAATTGTATTTAAAATTATATATAAATATTAATGAAAATAGTAATAAAGAATTCCTTTTAAAAATTTTTTATATTTGACATAAAATATTTAAATTGATAAAATTCTTTAAATATATAATTACTTTGATAATTTTTTTTTAAAATTATTTAAATTATAATTTTAATACAATTTATATTTAAATGGCTCATTCTTTATTTAATAGTATTTTTACAGAAACTTATCCAGAATTGATTACTTTAAATACTAATATTTTAGAATTACAAAGTATTTATCAATCTACTTATAATGAAAAAAAAATTTTTGATGAACTTTTAGAAGAAAATAATGATAATGATAATATTTTAATTAGTGAACTATTTTATAATATTGACAATAATATTTTTTCTAAAATACAAATTAACTATTTTTATAAAATATTTAATCAAAAATTCGAGTTTTTTGTTAAAAATTTTGATAAAAAACAAAAAGAACTTACAGAATAAGATATTAATGCTTTTTGTTTTAGATTTGATTTATTTAAATGTTATTCAACTTTAGAATATACAAAAAAAATTATAGATCGTGAAGTTGCTATCAAAAAATGAAAAAATATTCAAATATTATCAAAAAATAAAAAAAATATGTTATTATTAGGTATACTTAATGCTTTTGTTAGAAAAGAAAATATTACTGAACATAGAACAAAAAAAAAATATTTAACTAATCAATATTTTTTTAATAGAGATCATATTTGTTCAGAAGCATTTTTATTAATATATGATATATTAGAATGGAAATGGAAATCAATTCGTAAACATTTTCTTGAATATGATATTTTACTAATTTTTCATAGACTTAAAGGAAAACATAGTAACAACAAAATTTCTTTTAAAATTATTATAAATATTTTAATTTTTATTACAAATTATGCTAATATTCATAGACTTCTATTTCCTGGTATGAAAATTTTAAATTTTATTTTATTATAATTTTATTTAATTATATTTTATTTTAGATCATCATTTTGATACAGAAACAAAATCAATAATTTTTCTTCAGCAACAGAAAGTTATTTAAGTTTATTTCGTTTATATAATTTAACAATTGAAGAAAATTCTTATCAAATAATTAGCTCAACAAGTTTTATTAATATTTGAAAATTATATATTCCTGAAATTAAATTTCTTTTACCTAGAAGTGACTTATGCATAAAATATAAAACAATACATTTTAATATAAGTAATATTCCTAAAACTCAATTAGAGCAAACTATAAATGAATAGGCAAATCATACTAATTGGGCATAACAAGAAAGAGAATATTATAGGTAAATAAATTATTCAATTAATATTATTTTTAGTTTATATTAATTATATTTAATTTAAATTAATTTTATTTTATATAGAAATTGTATTATAAATACTAAATTTGCAATATCTAATAATATATTATTTTTACGTCTTAGAACTCCAAATAGTATTGATATTAAAAATCATATTTCATGGGACTTTGCAGAAAGTGTTTAACTACTTTATTCATCACAACAAGAAGTATATTTTATATTAATTAATTAATTTTTTAATTTAATAAATTTTAATATTTATTTAAATTTAAAGAGTGCAATATATTTTAGATCATGTTATAAAGTTGCAGTATTTGGTATATATGAGGATACTTTTTCATATCAGGTAATTACTATATTTATAAAATAAAATAATTAAAAATTTAATAATATTAAATTTTTTATATTTAAAGATTAATTATTTAATTAAAGAAAAAGAAATAGTTAGAAAAGGAGCAGATACTGTAATTTCACTAGTACATCATTATTTTAAAAATTATGGACTTGGAAAAAAACATATTATAATACATGCTGATAATTGTGCAAGCCAAAACAAAAATAATGCAATGATTAAATATTTGACTTGGAGAATAATGATGGAACTTCATACTACAATTACATATTCTTTTATGGTAGCTAGACATACAAAATTTTCTTCTGATAGATTTTTTGGATTATTTAAATTAAAACTTCACCTTTTAGAAGTTGATAATTTAGAAGATTTAATACAAGTTGTTAAAGATTCAACAATAAATAGATATAATATACTATAATTAATTGTTGAAAATAGAGAAAGAAAAGTTAATTTTTTTAACTGGACTACATTTTTAAATAATTATTTTGATACAGTTCCTCAAATTTTAAAACAACATCATTTTTATTTTAGTAAAGATCATAAAGGATATGTATTTATTAAATCAGCAATTAATGAATCTAAACAAAAAAAAATTAATTTAGTTAAAAATAATCAAATTTTACTAACTATAGATTCTTTTCCTATACAGAAATTTTTATTAGAATTGTCTGCAGCAAGACAATGATATCTTTATAAAGAAATAAGAATGCATATACAAAATCTATCAAAAAAAGATGATTATTGTTCTTTACCTCAAATTTTAAAACCTAAAAAAATTACCAAATAAAAATATTTATTGTTATTCATTTATTTTAAAAACTTAATATTAAATTAATAAAATTAAAAATTTTATATAAAGAAATTAAAATTTAAAACATACTATTATTAGGCTATATAAATTTATATAATTGGTTTTCATATCCTGCTCGCATTGACAAAATAGAGATCAAAAATTTTTTTTTATATATTCAACTAATAAAAATTCTCTGTTCGATAAAGTAATAGATAATATTTATCTAATTAGCTAATTTACATAGATCTTATATTTATAATGTTAACGAAACTAATTAATATTAATAAATTATCTTTATACTTACCTACTATTTGAAGGGATTAGGTAACTAATCATAAATAACTATTTAGTGATAAGTATTTATAAATAAGTGATTATGTTTATGACTTTAATTATACTGATTAACTATCTTAATACTTGTACACTATTTGAAGAGTATTAGATAATTAATCATAAATAAGTATTTATATTCATAATATTAACAAAACTTATTAACATTAATAAATCATCTTTATACTCACTTACTATTTGAAAGGTATTAGATAACTAATCATAAATAAGTATTTAATAATAAGTATTTATAAATAAATGTTTATGTTTATAGTTTTAATTATACTGATTAACTATCTTAATACTCGTATACTATTTGAAAAGTATTAGGTAATTAATCATAAATAAATAAATAGATATGAATAAGTATTTATGTTTATAATTTTAATGAAAATAGTTAATGTTAATAAGTTATCTTTATACTCAGTAACCGAAATGATTTAAAGGGTATTAAGTGATTAATTTATTGTAAATAAGTATTTAGTAATAAATGTTTATGATTTTAATGAAACTAATTAATATTAATAAATTATCTTTATACTTATGGACTAAATTAATTTTAATAAAATGATTTGAAGAATATTAAGTAATTAATAATAATTTTTACTACATAAAAACAGTAAAACTTGTTCACAAAACAAGATCATAATTACTTATTTATACTATTGCATACAAATCTTTCATTCATATTAATTTATTTAAGTTAATGAGTATAAAATTATTTATATTCAGCATAAAGTTTAAAACTGCAGATACGAAATAAACTTTATATATACTTATATAAAATCTGAATATAGAAAATACGCTCATTGTAATGAATATAATACACAACTAGTATGGTATCTTTTATATGACTCTGATATAACAACAAGATGAATAAGCAAAAATAAAGATATTGATGATTGCATAAAAGAATTCCAAATTAGAGCTTTGAGAAATTAAAATGCAATTGAATAGATTCTGTTTTATAAATTATCTGATATTAAAAAAATTAGCAAAGAAGGATTTAGCTCTGTATAAAAAGCAATCTGGTTAGATAGCATATGAAAAGTTGATAGTGGTAATAATAATTATATAAGAATACATGAATCAAATAGCACCTTTGTACTCAAGATGTTAAAAATAAAAAAAGTAAGATAATTTATTGTTTTGATAATTTATCTAATTGTTTATTGAGCTAATTTATTGTTTAACTTTAAGTTTAAAAGTTTTATGAAATGTAAATTAAATTATAGTAAGCTCACAATATATAGAATAATCCAAAATACAGAAACAAAAGATTACTTGATAGTATTTCAATATGCAGATAATGGAAGTCTTCATAAATATTTAAGAAAAAATTTTAATAGTCTTACATGGCAGACTAA